GTTTGCGGTTTCAATAGATTACTTGATTCGTGATCACGTGTTAAGCGAGATTTTGCAGACTGGAATCGTTTTCCGAAGGAACTTTGGCCAAAAAACATACTTGCGACCGCATCGGAACCACCGCCTACAAAGAAACGCAAAATTAAAGAAGAAGAACTAGAAGAAAAGGTCCTCATCAAATTTGAGGTGAGTGACAGTTTTCGCTTTACTATCTTTATAGGTATTTTTTGGAATAGTGCCGTTTGACTTAAGTCTATTGCTTCAATAAATTTAATTTTTTTGGCAGTAGAACAAAAACGTAAGTATAACTTTTGCGCAGTCCGAAAGCAGAGAATGCTACACTCGTAAAACAGAAACCAGACAGCGTTACTATTTGATTTGAAGACGTAGCTACCAGGTGAAAAGCAATCAAGACAATTGAACGTTTAATGATCTTTGCTTCCGGATCTTTGTGGTTTAAGACAGTTAAAATGGGCGATGTGAAATCCTTTATTTGCTTTCAGGATTTTACATGGTCGTTTGTAATTGTTGCCTTGAACCACTCATCGGGATGCGAAGATCACTAAACGTTCATGTCTTTTTTTTTTTAGTCCGGGACCGTGTCTTGAATGAAGTCAGACTGCATTTTTTTCGGTGTTTTGTTTTCTGCACTTTGTATTCTTTGTGCATCAATTTTCAATGGTAAATGAAAGATTTTACATCGGCCTTTTCAACTGTTGCCTTGAACCATGGCTTGGGGAGCAAAGACCAGTAACTGTTATTCAAACAAGCTATTCAATCGATACCTCCTTCCATACCTATTGCAGATGAACATTTTTGCACTTCAAACATAGCATCATAGTTCCGCTTCCTTTTTTCTCATATTTCCGCTGATTACGGAACTATGGTGAGAGCCGCGACATGGTTCCGTTCTCGCGCAAATGCTAATATGGTGTGACATGATAAAAGAAATTCTCTGTATGCTCCTTAGCAGCTTATCGGATTTATCTCTGACCGAGCATTCATTGAAAGCTTCTCTGACAGGATGTAGAATTATTCCGCTGTGATAGATATCAGTACCCCTGGCAATCAATTTTAGCAATTATCTAAAGATTTTCAGGCATCGTACAAGGAGCCCAGAAATATTATCGAAGCCGCATGAATGATCTGTGATGAAGCATTCAAAAATCAATGGTCTGAGTTTTATTATGCATGCTGCTCTTAGAGTATCACGGTGTCAAATGAAGCAGCAATTCAGCACCTTACGGATGCTATTGCTCTACAGTTTCAATGGCCAATCCATGAAAATATTTTTTTAAATTATTTCCGAGACTCATTTCTGTTTTTTTCTAGAATGTTTCTCAGGATGCTTGCCATGAGGATGAACCAGTGTAGTTTATCTGAAACTTCGAAATTATAATATAGAATGCTATGCATCTGTTTCCTTCTGTGTAAAACCATCGAAGTGGAAGTCTTTCGATTCGTGATTATACGTGCAAATTACGCTGATAATTTTACGATGAAACTGACTTTTCGGATTATCGTGTTCTCCGTCATCATGACGCACAAGCGCAGCAAATCGGCAATCAGACGTGTCTGTTTTAATGATCATTCATGTTGGCTGTCCGAAACAGCGGTTTTTCATTTTCTCCAGAAAGGGAGGAGGATGGCTAAGCAACTGTTTCTTGCGAAACCGACCTGCGGAAAGCCCAGGGGACGGCCAGGGTTAACCTGGTGCAAATGTATGACTCCAGTTGTCTTCTGCCGAAACTCTGACTCTGATTCAAAATCGGGAACGTTAGATGCTCTGTCTGACGCATCTGCCTGCGCGACCCGAAATGAGAAGCGGCTGTCGAGGATGATTATTGGTTCGCATTACTAATTCTGCGTCTGTAATAATTTTTATGTACAAAACAAAGCTAAAGATAAAGCTTATATATTAACGCGTTTCGCTGCGGTTCTAGGAGTATCATCGACACACAAGTTATAAGGACGGTAACGGGCCACGTTATCAGGATGAAAATGGAACAAAACGAAACGCAAGAAGCCTATCTCCCTACGTCAGTCCGGTGTTCGTATCAAGTTGTGATAATCTCCCCTCGCTTCTCTGTATTGCACGTCATAGTCGCACCGTCCTTTGCTTCTAATGACCTAGGTAATCATTTAAGTTGTCCACGGCTCCGTGCTATATTTAACCACCTGCAGTGCGAATGCCATAAAGTTACAGGGGATTGCTATTCCTCTCGGTGGTATTGAAACTGCCGGCAGTTGTTAATAAACCTATTATACCGGAGTTAACGTTTACTCCATTTGCTTCGAAGTATGTCCATTGACGTACGGTTTTTGGTATACTCTAAAATTGGGGAAGTTTTGTACCCATGCTCTGCGGGTTCTAAAATATCATGCAACCTAAGTCAGCGAAGCAGATCTATGGACTATTAGATGCAAGGGAAGAGTGCACTGGTAGATGGCTAGTAAACCCGCGATACTAGAGTTAGTTTTCATTATAAGTTTGTGGTAGTTCCTCAGCTTTCAGTTATTATGACAAAATGAAATTATTCATGGCACCTTCCATATTCGTGTGCCAAAATATCTGAACGTGCGTTTTGAGCTAAGTTTGTACGGTATGTGCAGTAATTTTTTTTAATTTTAATTTGTTTTGCGTTCATATGAGGCTCTTAATTATGCGTCGTTTTTTCTATAATTTATTTTTAGCTTAGAATCAAAAATCGTTCATAGACGATTTCTGTTCGACTTCATCGATATTCATGTCATAAAGGCGAAAAATTTTAGATTCATAGTAAATTTATGTGCTGAAGCCTTTCTGAATAAAAAGTAGCGATCGTTCATTAAACCCTGTTTTAGAAACTGGAAAAATCAGAAGCAGAGTCTCAGTTCCAAAAAGAGTTACAACCCACTGAAGAAATTAAGGTAAAGAAGGAAGAAGATGATGAAGAACCGGATGAAGATGAATTAAGACAGTCTGAAGATGAAGAGGTGGAAGAGGTAAATTTCTGAATTCAATTTTGCAGCTTGGGCAGGATCGCCATAGAATCTCGTTTCTTTGCGTTAATTGAACGAAACCATCAATTTCGTAACTTAAAATAAATTTAGCTTGATTAACTGAATTGATAACTTATTCTTGAATGTCGATCATGCTTTTCAAATGAATATGCTTTATTCCTTTAGAAGTGTTCAGTGGTATCTAGGCACTGTTTTTTGACTGAAATTTACAAATGTAAATTTATTTAAATGAGTTTTCTGTAATCAGCCCCGGAATCAGCATTTTTCAGACCACTAGCACATCACAGGTATCTGGACGATACTTAGATGTTGTGGCCATATGAAGAGAAGCAGCTGAACGTGTTTCGTAATTATATGAACTTCATGCAGGAATTTATTTTTTTCACCCATGGCATTCCCAGATGTGCTAGTATGCATTACGAATAGAACGCTAGGTACCGTTGTGTACAAGAAAGCCACATCAACGTTCATTTCGATATTTCCACTTGCGTAAAAACGGTGCCGGTAAAAATGCTAGTCCTCTGAAGCATAGAACTGTATCGGATCAGAATTCGTAATCGCTTCATCAAGAGAATATAAAATATTTGGCACTGGACAAGATGGTGATTCGAACACTTTAATCCACAGTTCGACATAGTGGGACGACAATTATACAGATACAACTACACTCTCCCAATAAGACTTTGGAAGCCGCCTTCTGCTAGTCATATGTGCCACAAGAACTTAAGCGAGAGATTGAATTGGCTTATGGCCAGATACGGAGCATCCACTTTTGCATATTTTCAAATAGGCTTGGCAACTTCCTATGCAAGAGAGGCATCATACCGAGACAAGAGGATGTCAGTATAGCGTATCTGATAAACTGCTCTTGCAGCGAGAATTACATTTGATAAATCTGTGTGAGACTAAAGGAGTAGACCAGTAAACAGATGGCTTAAATCAGCAAAGCGGATGAGAAGGTCTCTGTCGTTGTGGAGGGCAGCGTGCTAATGGTTGCTGCGGTAACATTCTGCATGTCAGTTATGTTACCGTGCGATCTTTCGGAGCCGGCATTTAGAAGTAATGAGCTGCATGGTCTAATCTTCATGGTCACAGTCACACTGCGAACGCTGTATCTTCTAACGGTGGTGGCGCTCACGGCGCTCTTGACCTGTCTAAATCCGGTTTAACATCAACTACTTTTGGCGAGCCAAGTTCATCTCTGGGGGTTGTTTGGTAAGATTGAATGTAAGGTCATTGTTATGGGAGGCTGTAGCATTCGACTCTGCTCGTTACTGTTCCTCAAGGCTCAGCCGTTACGTCGTTGCTCGTTTCCATGTGATCGGCATGATTCAGGCGTCGTGTTGGCGGCTGCTGCTAAACACAATGGAAGTGCACTTGTGTCCAATCCTGTGGTGCGATTTGTACCACTGGTCCGGAAAATGCGAGATTTCTCTTTCTCTAATGAGGTGAGTGAGTTTAATATGCACCAGTACCGGTAATCATCGTTTTTGGATTCCTGCCACGATTCCCATTAGTTCTTTGTGCTGCGTGTCTACTTTCCTTGTGTTGTAACTGTATCTCCAAATAAGGAAGCAGTATTCCACGACAGAGTACGTGATGGTCAAGGCCATGATAACACTCTGGCTGCTGCACCCTATGAGGTTTTGGCAAGTTTTCGTGACAGTTATATCCTCGCCTTGGTCGTCTCCTGTGTCTTATCAATATGTGACTTAAACGTAAGGATTCGATCAAGATTGATGTTTTGATATTTTAGTTGATTATTTGCTGCACGCCTTGACCACAGAAATAAACAGTTGCAGCGCTAAATATGCAGTAGTGGTCATGAACTATAGAGGCAAACGAGTGCCAGTGTTGCTGTTATGAATTTGTTTAAGCTGTTTTAAAAAATTTAATTAGTTTCATAATTTCATTTGTGGCTTAATAGTATATTTTCGTTTATTTGTACGTCAGTATTTTTTCCTTCTATTTCAAAATGTTTCTATTAGGAAAACGATTATGTCGAATCGTATTTCGATAACGGTGAAGCTTACCTTGACGAATCAGAGGAAAGTGCGGATGACGAGGCCGTGTTCTGAATGGGAAAGAATAAGAAAATCAGAATTCAGCCAGGAGGCTCTCAGCGAGCCTCAAAGTTTTTACCATGCATGTTTTGGTAATAAATTTTTCCTAATTCGGTAGTAAAACGTACCTCGGGTGTATAATGAGCATTTGTAAAATAATCAAGATCATGGTACCGTAAAGTTCCTGACAAAGATTGTACCGGGCTCCTGTTGGAAACATCAAACGTTGAAGATCATTCACCCAGTGCCACTTAGCTGTTCATATTGTTTTTCAACAAAGCAGAGCATTTCTGATTGATGGCATCGAAACAGAAATAAGCGATAAACTATAAAATCCATCGGTGAAAGGTACAACAAATAGCAACTAATTACAGGTGTTGTACGGAAGATGAATATATCGATGATTGAAAGTTTTATTTTGCCCTTGCGATTGACTGACCAAGACGAACCCAGTTGATCTGACATAAACTCTGAGGAATTACTCTGTGAAACTCGGCATTAGCCGTTCCATCGGTGTGCTGGCACAGTAGTTAAGGGGTCGGCTTTGAACTCCGGAGATGTCAGCTGTCAAGGGATGAGCTTTGCTTTTAAAGCAAATTCTCTTGAGAAAGGAATTAACCACACGTTGCTTCCGCGCAACTAGCCTAGTGAAACGGTAGTAAGTCGGTGACTTGCAAAAAATAGGGACAACAGAATATTCTGATCTGGCCATGCGTGAATGGGCGAAATGTACGGTCATGCTGTCCAGCGCTAGCGCACCTTGGGGTTGCATTTTACTTGAGTTCACCTGATTGCTAATTATGCCGCCCTCACAATCTTCATCTTAGAGTTGACGTTTGGCCCCATTGCCATAGCAGCGTTGTTGAAACTTTCGACGGATGTCAGTAGGCCACTTGCGGAGTCTCCCAGCAGCACTAAGTCATCAGTGTGCTACAAGCTCGATAAGAATATCGCCGGGTATCTTGAACCGCGTCGCCGACTTAAGGCCGGCCCTCGTTGCAATTTGGGCCCACACAATTTCACGTGTCATATTTTGCTACGGCGTTGAACAGCAAACCAGTTAGCACATCCCTTTAACGATATTGGTCAGTGACAACTAACTATTCTGTTGTGTAATTTCAGCGGGTACGGAAGTATGTGCGAGAATTGCGACTGCTAGAGGTACCAGTCAGTGTCTTTCTTCCCAAAGACCTGAGTCATGCGCATCTCCACAAGTCAGGTACGTCTAGGCCTTCATGTCTGTCCATACTGTTCCCAGCTGCGGTATTAGGTGCTGTTATTAGGCCAAATGGCCTGATTCCCACTGTTGCTCGACGGGCCATAGCATGGAACACGATCAAGCGTAATCACAGATAAAAACATACGGCACATAGTGCTAATTCTCCAGCGCTAGCCAATCTAAAATTTGACTCGCAGTTTCTCATACTCAGTCATTGCGAATCGAAAGTGATTCTTGTGCAGTCTTCGTTATCGCCGAAAAGACCTAGAATGCACAGTCCTCCATTCGTTCGGTGCGGTAGCCTTCGCCCTAGAAGATTCTCAGGCATTTGAAACTTCGCAGCAACATTCCAGACACATTACAGCAGCATTTACCTAGCAGTCGTTCATCAATATTTTAATCAAAGAAGTTGATGATATTGCGCTCAACGAGAAACAACTACCAAGTTAGTCTTCATGTACGTCTGCTTCTGCATGCACTTAACACCGACACTTTTACCTGTGCTTGCAGACTATGACTCAATGCAGTATAGTTGTATCTTACAACGGTGCACCAAATCTAAGTAGCTAGCCACTGCATGATCTCCAACAAATGAAACTTTTAATGAGGATCAACGAAGTAATTGCCATAATAATAGTACAATATACATTATACAGTATAAAAACAGTACAAAATACAAAATATAAATATATAATTCGATAGCAATGGTTCTAGCAATGGTAAATGATTCCTATCCGATTATGGTTCCCAGATTGTTCACCATGAACAGCTTATCAGAGATCAACACGTACCGTGGGATCGTCAGATCACCAGCGGTCAGCTGAACTCCAGGCGGAACCACCACTTGAGGCGAAACGTCTTCC